GAAACATCATCTGTTTTGGACGGTCAGGAAGCTGTAGGGATTTGGGGGTATGTTTGTTGTTTCGTGCCAGAAAGTTTGGGACAGTAGAGCGGTAATTTAACGACTCGATGTTGTATGAAGGTTTAATACACACATAAATGAAATATCGTAGGATGAAAGAATAATTTTTTTTTAATGTGGAAAAAACCAAAAAATGAAAAAACCACTAGGCATAATCCAGTTAAAAATAATCTAATGTGTGTAAGTATAAAAATACACACTTCTATCATAATAGGGAGAACGAGATTAGAAGATATTTGTCAAAAAAATAAAAAGTGTTAGAAAATTCAACCACAATTGCATTCCGACTACAATAGTTGTGAGCAGTGGTCCTTGATGACCATTGAATGACGATGATATGTAGTGTGGGCAGACGATGGTCGACAATGGTCGGTCGACAGTGACTGATGACCATGTAAGTCAGTGGTTACTCACAAGGTCTTCTCTTTATAACAATCTCTAAAATTATACTTCTCTTTTTGTTCTTCTATGAAAACCCTCAAGTAGAATGGAATAGAACTCTTAAACAACGAGACGCCTTTTTGGTCTAAAAGAAGAATTTCAATAGAAACTCCAAAATTAAGTGTGCTCATTATGAAGCACTCTTAAGAAGGATGAACTTGTGGGAAGTTGCACTGACGGGGCAAAATCGTGAGACCATTGGCTAAAGCGGACAATAACTTGATGGGTAAGAGTTCAGGCTATATGGAGCCGAACTCTTAAACATTGATGCATCTTTTAATGTAACATTAAAATTTCAATAAAAAGTCCAAAGTTAAACGTGTCCGTTATGAAGCACTACTTTGATGGGGGACCGCCTAGGAAGTTGCACCAACGGGGCAATATAGTGATGTTATTTGGTCAAAGCGAACGATACCTTGATAGGCGAGAGTTTGGACTGTCACATTTTCTTCTCGTTCAAGTAAAGACAATGAATCTATTTACAACATTTTGGGGAGGGACATTTTTGTCTTTTGCCGCGTAACTTTCCTCCTTAATCATAAGTGATATTTTAATAATTTAGATGTCTTAATGACATCAAAATTGAGTGATCTTAGACTAGTTAGATTCCTCTCATTGAGATGCCGGATTCCACTGTAAAATATGTCAAATTTGGAGCTCATTTGACCAATTTTGATATCATTAGATTTGTTTTGTCTAGACGGTCAATTTAATTACAATCTTGCTGACATCTGGGTCCCGATGATACTGAATTTGAATTTGAAAAATTTCTGAAAAATGCATTAAGATTCCTGTTTGATAAAAATGTACCGATAAACACATCTTATGTAAATGCCCAAAAAAAAGTTTGAACCTTGTAGTCCAATGTGCTTTAAGATTTGCGCTTTAGGAGAGCCTAAAATAAGCTTTAATGTTATGGAAATAATGGAAATTCGATATTTAAGTAATTTTCAGCCCCACTTTTCCCAACAAAAAAAAA